ACGGCTTTGAATTTTTTGACCATACAGATTTTGTGTAATATAAAAAATTCTTCATCAATAAAACATGCAGAGACTCTCAAGTCAAATAATAAATGACACTCTAGTTTTGTGACTCTTAACTATATAAGTATAGTAAAACAACAAAAAAGGCTGGCACAAAGTTTATGAAATTTTTTAATTTGTAATAGTAAAGAATCTAGCAGCATAGTCTTTATTATAGTCGGACACCCTCATTTTCTTGTAAATCTTTTGATGATGTGGCCGCACTCTTCATTTGATATGTACGTTGGCATTTCTCTAAACAATTATGAATCTTATGACCAAGTTTTTTATAATATAAGCATAGGCTAAGTTCCCTTCAACATTTTTTTTTCTTATGCAAAAAGAAGTTTGAAGCAAACTGCATCAATCTACATATCTTTTGCTTCTAAATGCTCATTAAAATTGCATAGTGAAGAAGCTGCAAAATAATTGGTGTATACATGTGAGGTAATTGAAGAATATTTATCTTGTTGTCATTCAAATAAATGGTTATTATACTTCAGAACTTGATTGATGGCTTCATTGAGTGTTTCAAGGTCTGGAATAGACAACAATAAGTCCTTGATATCGTCTCTTAATTTTCAATGAAATTGGCTCATCAACGCATCTTCTTTCCAATTTATATTATATGCTAATTGTCAAAAATCTAAGGTATATATTGATACAAAATATATTTTTATATAATTTTCAAAGGCTTCGAATTTTAATTGTTGAAGAATAAACCTTATCATGTTCACCAAATGCTTTTGCAAATGCTGCCAAAAATGCTTCAAAATTGTACAATATAGAAAAATTCTTTTTAAATAATGAAGTGAATTAAGATAAAGCTTGACCTGAGAACAAGGTTCCAATCAAACCAATACAAGATGCTTCAATGGAATATCATTGAAGTTGAAGTAAGGTGATTAGTCATACTTGATTTACAAAGCTATGAAATTTTAAGCATGTGCCATTGAATTTTTTTGAAAGGTTGATCCTTGGTTCTTTTGCTATTATTATTGTGAGATCATTGCCTTAAATGGATGCACCTTCCATGTTTATTGAAGCAAATATATTCATTTGAGAATTTGGAACCTCTATTTTCATTTGATATGGTAATTGAGGCACTCCAGCTCCTTGACTATTATATATGGTCATATATAATTTTTCATTCTACTTCGACAAAGTCTCTATCTTCATTCTCAATGCTTGAAGAGCATTAATAATAGAATCAAATTTGATCTCTTTGGAGTTTGTCATATTGACTTTTTCACCTTCTACCATAAAAAATCAAAAAAATACATGCATTCAAAGAAAAAAAAACTTAATCTATGATATAAAGAAGAAAAAAAACCAAAAGAATATTAAGAAAGAATAGTATTAGTTTAGGAGAGGATAATCTGCAACCTCTAGAATGCTATAGTACTTTCAAGAAGAAAGGTAATCCACTCTCTGTCAAAAAAGACCAAGCTTTTAATATTTTTTTATGATAGTCTCGACAAACTATAAGGGACCTTATACATGACAAGGATTCAAGATCAAGAAATAGAGTTAATTTGACATTAAAAAAATAAATAGATACATGGTAAGAAGATCCTAGCTAGACCATAAGAAGTAAATTGTCAAAATTGAAAATCCTCTCAACCTTGACTCCTATATATATTAGGTCCTATGAAGCTTCATGAGAAGTTTCTATGAGGCTTGGAAACAAAGCAAGCCTAAGATCCTTCTTTGGCAACTTCCTAAATCATCTAAAGCCTCTTAGAACCTTCCAAGATCTCCTATGACCTTCTAGAACTTTCTTAGAATCTATTAGAACCTTCTTAGAACCTATTGGAATTTTTTGGAACCTTCTAGGATCTACAAGAACCTTCTAGAATCTTCTAGAACTTCCTAGAATCTTTTCAAACCTTTTTTAGTTGTATGTCCATAATAAGTATTGAACTTGGTTATATACTAATATTTCTTTGGAATATATTTTTGATTATATTTTTATGTAATTCAATTTTATTTTTATTTTTTTGAATTGGCTAGATAGAACTTTGTTATAATCCAATATTTATAGTGTATGTAGTATGAAAATATCTTACTTATTATGGATGATTTTTTTTTTTGAAGCATATTATTATAGTTGAATTAAAAAAATAATTAATTTTTGAAATATGTATCATATTAAATTATTCTAAAAATTATATAACTTATACATAGTAAATAAAGTAAAGTTTTTAGGAATAAATATATTTTTTTTGTAATAATAAAGAAATATTTTAGATAATTATTTGATAGATTTTTCTTATATTTTATATAATTATTAATATAATATAAGTTTAAAATTAGGAAGTAGCTTAAAGATGTTTTATAAATATTATAGGAATTATTATATAATTCTATCTATTTTCAAACTTCATATTGATACAATATTTACTTCAGGAGAAAAAAATTAGTAAAATATTACAAAATAGATTTTTTGTAGTTATTAAGTAAAAAACATATTTTATAATACTGTAGCAACATTTTTTTCTTTATGTAAAGCATGAACCTTGATTGAAGAATATTGCAAAGAAAATTGGCTTTAATTGTAGTGACCCAAATCAACATTAAAAGAAATTTAAGAAAACTTTTGATTTGGACAATTATTTTGAACACTATCTATGGCATCTCTCAGTGTCATATTGAGATCAAGAGAAGTACCACATTTTTTCCAACATCCATTAATAAAGTTGATGAAGGCCTATTATTGTTGTATGATAAGCTTAATGGTATTATATTATTGACAATGTACAAGTACATATGTTGAACTTTTCTATTATCTTATAATATGGATAAGAGGTATTTAAAAGATTGAAGGAAGTAGACTAGATTTATTTACTTTTTTATGAGTATTCTTGTCTTTAATATGGAAGAACATCCATTCAATTGGCTAGAAATTAAAAAAGTAGTGGTATATTTAATAAAATAATTAGAATTGGAGAAAGCAATAAAAGTTATTTCTACTTCTAATTTATTTGAGGAGTTTAATAAAGTTCTTTTGAAAGAAACTAGAATTTTAGGTGGATTATGTCATTCAAACATCATCAAGATTTTTTATTGTGGTTTTTTTTAAAGAAAATAATTTGAATTTGTAATGGAACAAGGAAAGATGACCTTATCTATAGTATTGAAAGAGAGAGGTTGACTTCTAAAAGAAATTGCAATTGACATTATGTCACAAATTGCAAGTAGAATATATTACATGCATGATGTGAAGTTAGCATATTGTAATATAAAATCTAATAATGTTATTGTAGATCCAATAAATATTCTAAAATTAGTTGATAAGACACATGTACATGTAAAATAACTTGATTTTAATATTTCATAAGTTGAAGTGAAGAACATTGTATAAGTATCTATATAAGGATGGATTTTTGGTATTTTTGAATAAATACAATACTTGAGGTTATAATATATATATATATATATATATATATATATATATATATATTTTTGAGAATCCATATTAAAAGTGGATGCTTTGAAAGTGGATGTGTTCAATTTTGGTATAATTTATAATAAAATTATTTTGGAAACAAAATCTTTTAGTGGTGAATGTCTTCTTTGTACTTATCAAGAAAATATAGAAAGTTGTAAAAGACCTAATTTGTCAAATGTTTGTTCATAAGAATTAAAATTGTTTATAGACAATTGTTGGTCTTTAGATCCATTATAGAGGCTCAAATTTCTTAAGATTTATGTAAGATTGAAATTGTTGAAGAAAAAATTGCTTCATGGTCTTTAGAGAAGTAGAGACAAATATGAAGAAAATATATCATGGATTGACATTGTTTTGGATCCAAAGCAATTGTTGACAAGCATCAAAGAAAATTTGCACATTGCTGTATGGCAATTTTTTGCCTCCTTCATCCAAGGCTTGTGGTTCTTTTTCCTAATTAGAAAATTTTGATTTTACCACTCCATTAATACTTCATAAAGAAAAATTTAATTCATCAAATCAAATTGTAAGAAAGGCACATGTTTTGAAATTATATTACAATTGTTTTAGATATTATGTGGTATAATATGTGGTTTGAATCTTAATAGATATAAAGACACTAGAATTTATGTAAGTTATTATAATATTCAAATTTGAAAGCTTGTAAATTTTTGTAGGTCACTATAAAACCTAATAGATATTTAATGCTAATTGGTATAGAAGAAAAAGTAATTAAATTCAGAATCATAATACAAAAATGATAATTGTTTGGAATCATTAGAATGAGTGAAATTGATAAAATGATAATAGTTTGGAATCATTAGAATGAAAGAAATTCATAAGTCAACACTAGCTAAGGTTCGGAGTAACTAATGTTTCGGAGTAACTAAGTTTGAAGCAACATGCTTCGTAGATTACTTGAAAGATGGAAAATCAAAGCAAATTTTCAGAAACTATTCCACAACAAATTTAAGTATAAATTACCAATAAAAGACATTTAGTTCATCTATTTTTAATATTTTGTTTTTAAACTTTTAAGTATAAATTACCAATAAAAGACATTTAGTTCATCTATTTTTAATATTTTGTTTTTAAACTTTGAGTGGGTACAGAGCGTTCTACTTAAATTAAGTTCCACTTTCACAAAACCGTCAATGACAGATGCTATGTTGGACAAAACCTGAATAATTCAATGCTTTTACAAATCATCCTTTGTTCCCACGAAGAACAATAACGACAAAATTGAAGAAATGTTTTTATGAACGGAGAGGATAAGACAGGAGAAGACATTGTCATCTGCTCTTCAGCTAATTATGATAGTGACAAAAAAAAATATTACCGACAATCAACGGTAATTCTGAACATAAAATATGCGCACAAGGGTTACTACTAGAATACTCAAAACGAAAGATGCTTTCACACATGGACTAGTAAGAGTCATGAGGAAAGAAATCCAACTATGTCGAAGACGACACACTAAAAAGCTACTCACAACTTCATGCCTGCATTAAAGTCCATCACAAAAATTAACTCGTTTACATTAGTAATCCCGAAGGAAATTATTACAGAAAATGGAGGACAGATGAAGACAAGCCACGCTCTGAACACTCCAGCATGTCGATTGAAGGCTCATCATCATGATAATCTTTAAAATCATCAGTCTGGTTCGCCTGGTTAACAAAGGTCTGAATCTACCCAACTCAACTGCATCCAAGACAAACACTCTGAAAGGCTAATGGGCAGGAAATGACCTAGCCTTTATATTCATCCCCAACGTCTCTGCTTCCCCACATACTAGTTTTCTATTCCAACGCATAGCCATCAAGGCAACTGAAAAACATGGACATGCTCATCCACAAGCACTTCATTCTAAAATATTAAGCACGAATCCTCCGCTGCATATAAAACCTTCTCCTGACCATACTTCTAAACATCCAAGAACCTATTTCACCGCTCTGTTCATGGTCAAATCGAAAGATGCTTCAGCAATCGTAGTAGAGTGAATACACTCTGCTAAAACTGGTGAAATGAACGTATTTCAACCCCCGCAAATCATGCGACTGTCATATTGTAGGAGTTTCTGATGTTGTAACCACGTCGATGGTTAGCAGTAATGGCAGGCAATGCGTGAAAAGCCTGCTGATAGGTCTCTCCGCCTGCCATGTAGGGTCTACCATAACTAGCATTGGAGGATAAGACAGCAGGATAACACCTATCATTCAAGTGGAGAAAAAGCTAAATTAGTAGTATAAAAATCATTCATAGTAAAGAAATTCAAGAACAGACCGCTCAAACGATACCTGTAATTATAAAAATAAAAAGAAAGTAAAAAATTGAAGAGCAAAAGGTCCACACCGAGTTGGAAGAAATGGCATCGGGGAGTTGACAACTGGGACTACGGGACCACGGGCATAGGATATAGGTGGGACGACTGCCAAATCACCATAGCAACGTGATTAGCATTCATAATTACAATCATTACAATTATAATGAAAACACGCAAAATTTATAAAAGAGAATTCTGGCTAAGAGTGCTGTTATCGAGGGCTACGTTTTAGCTCACTGCCTGGACTAACATAAGACCTGTTGACAGCTGGCCTCACTTTACCACTGCCATATTGACCTGCTGTACGATTCTGCACACACATAGGATTTTTAAGAGGCTCCACCTGGGTTTCAAACAATTGCAGAACAAATAAACTAGAAAAAATCGAGTTGAGAAAAACGAAAATAACAGAAATAGAGGAAATTTTCAAATCAACACATACCTCCTTAGTCCAATTCCTTATCCCGCGCTTAAATCCTGCAAAAATTCCATTGTAACTCACAACTCAGATTCCGCCGAAAAGAAAATTTATGAGCTAACAATACGCACGTTACAAGAATCGAAATTTTGAAAGCATGCCCTACCTGCTTGACCTTCAGATTCCTTGTTGGTCGCAAAATTTGGCTTCAAAGCTGGAACAAGAATAAAATACAAATTCAGAACTAATTCGTAAAATTGAATTGACTTTGAAACATGAAATGCAACATACGTTTTTGAACACGCTCTCTAATGCACATAGCCAGGTACATGCACAAACACATACTCCAAAACACTAAATATAATTTTTCCTTTTTAAAGTAAAGTAACAGCTACAGAAGTCTTTCAGCAAAAAACCTGTCGGAATGAATGTCTTGGGCTGGACAAACTCGTATGTTGGAGTAGGAACTGGATTACGTTTATGAATCTGCAAGGTTTGCAGAATTTCGAATAAGTTTACACCTTCTACAGAGCTTAACAAAAGTTTCAAAGCAACTTCACTAAATAACACATATAGCTCTCTAACTCAAGACTTCAGGTAGGAATGCACCGCTGCAACATCAACAGGTATAACGAATTTCTGGACCTGGAAAAAGGGATGCTGCAATGCCTGCGCTGCTGTCGGCCTTTTACTGGGATCCCAGACGCACATAGCCTGTGAAATAGTCGCACATTAAAAGGCTGTCTACTAATTTTGATAACCTTCAGAAAAATATAAATCGATTGAGTTCAATTATCTCAGTCAAGGAGTTCCAAACAACACAGCAACTAAGAGGTATAAAAATCGAGGGCAGAAACAATTACAGATATAAGATTGATCGCTTCTGGGCTGGCAGTCGGAATCAGGTGAGATAGATTTGTAGGTGAAAGCTACAACATTAACAAGAAGCGCCATCAAAAAGTGTCGCATAATTTTTTGAAACATAAGTCTTAGATCTATTTTATGATATGAAAACAGAGCACGAGCCTTCAAACTCGAGCCTCAATTTCATGTGCTTCATACGTAGTATCTGTATGATAGAGATTGCAAAACCACCTAAGCGTTTTTAATCTCTAAGTCAACAAAAGAAGGCAAGAAGAAGGCAGTGATGGTGATGCAGCGAGAAATATAAAAACAGAGGAAATGATATTAAGGCATTGCGTTCTGCCCATGTCATATATTCGATATTACACCAGTCTACACAATAAAATAGGAACTTCCACATAATGTTTCAAGTATATACCTGAGGAAACTGAAAACTCAAAGAAGATGCCAGCTTCATGCCCTCAGACCATGTCTGATAACTAGGAGAGCCAATCACAGAACATATTTTGTATATTTCGTCGACCTCGCTGAATACAGAACGCAAACAAAGTACAAACTCACTAAAAATTAGTCTCGCGAAGATTACTGAAGTAAAAATGAATATTGCAAAGTCCCTCACAACACATCTCCACAAATATTCATTATGTAGATAACGTACCCGCATCATATTAACATTGCCTAGGTATCAACTAACGAATGCTGCTGAAACATCTTAACACATGATCGTGTCAACGCAGAAAATTTAGTCAAGTTAGTATAGTTGATACCCTACCTTGCTCCAGGAAAAAGTGGACGAAGTGTGAAGAGTTCGGCCATTATTGCTCCCACAGCCCACACATCTATAGCGGCGGAGTAGGTTGGTGACTGCAGAAGCACTTCTGGTGCTCGATACCTAAAAGATAAACCGAACGTATTCAAAGATAAGTAGCACACCCACAAATAGCCAGTACATATACACTCGAAGAACTAAACGTAATATCTTACTATCAAAAAGTCTTACCAACGAGTAGAGACATAATCTGTGTACGGTGGAGATGACTGTACTTCCCTCGCAAGACCAAAATCAGCAACCTTAATCACGTCCTTCGTGACCAGCAAATTCTCTTCACAGGGGAGGGAAAAAAATTTAAAAAAACGTAAATTTTAGTTACTGAGATATGAAAATCGTTGTATGGTATCTTCAGCACTTGCATTAATTGGATCATCCATTAAAATAAATAAGCAAAGTCCCCTTTGCCTATTAAAAAATCTTCTACCTGGTTTCAGATCTCTGTGGAAATAGCCATTCTTGTGCATGTACTCTAACGCTTGCAAAATTTGAAAAGCCCAACTCCTTACTTCGGACTCAGAAAAAGGCTTGTCCTTATCCTTAATAAGCTGATACAGATTGTACTCCTATGAGAATCAAAAAACAAACTTATTAGCAGATGTGTTTAATCAGATTCTAAGGTTCTCATCAAACATACGAAATAAACAGAACATGTCCAATGCACAAACTTCACTGTGTGCTCCGAAGCACTTCACTTACCATGTACTCGAACACAAAAAATAGTTCATCGTTTTCTCTGATAACCTCCTTCAACTTCACAATATTTGGATGATTCAGCTTCCTCAGAGACTGACAAACCACATTCGCCGATCAAATAATCGGCATGCAAAATTCAAAAAATCCAAAAGCTGGTTGAACATCGTTGAGACTTACATACTAAACGGTGAAAACCGCACGGACGCCTTCTCAAAGACCAGTTCGCACTCGAACTAAGGATAACATACCTTGACTTCTCTAAGATTCATGCATTCATCCCACGAGTAAAACTTCCTCTTCATCTTCTTTATCGCCACAACTTCATTGGTACCATTATTAAATGCTTTCCACACACTTCCATAGGTCCCATCTCCCAACTGCCTCATAACCTTATACCTATTGCAAAACCAATAAATAAGTAAATAAATAAATAAAAGTAATGATCAGTAGTACCGTAGAAGAATATAATTTTAGGTCAAAAAATGGAAAACAAGTCAACAATCATGACCAGATGTTACCAGCCAATGTACAACTCAAGAATAAATGCAATACTTTTTAAAATGGTACAACGTACCGCTCCATGCTTTGATAATAATCTGTGATCGGGAAAACCCTTCACAGTACCGAGGATGAATTATCCAGTGATTTCTGATCCGTGTGATGCACACAAAAAGCTATTCTGTACCATTCTCCTCTGACGTAGTTCTTTAAATCTGCCTCCCTGCAGTACCAGTATTGACAAGGTAACCGTCCATATTCTATCTGACCTCCGCATGAAGAGCCGCCATTCATCTCCGAAAGGGGTGATTGCTTAAGGGTGTGAGCTATAAGTAATCTGAGTAGCCAGGACGCAGCGGTAGCACCGCCGCAAGCAGGCCCATTCCTGGAGCAGGTTGCTGAGTCACAATAGATTCCAGTGCCACTGAATCGGCAAAAAAGTCAATCTCAAACCAAGTAACGGAAGGAAATTTCTCCATGTCTTCAAGAACTCGACACATCCTTCAAGACACAAAGCGCCGAAATCTTCTCAAAAGAGTTGACAAGCAGCTCTCGCACCTGCACAGAGGAGGAGTATTAAAATACAATAAAATTTTCCAGTGATCTTGTCTAGGTAGGTAGAAAAAGGTGATAATTACAATTGTCCATCATTTCGAAAGCGATGAAGTCAAAAGTATATGCGTTTAAAAGATCACACCCAACAGGTAAGGGCACTGACAAAAGCATTTGTGTTGCTCACAGAAGCGTTAATGCCAGAAGTCGTAAGAGAAACGCGCTGATTTTTGTAGGAAATAAGACTATGAGTCGCAATGAGGAGACAGACAATTCTTCATAACCGTAGACAGTACTCGAGTAATAGAAATTTACAATAAAACTTGCCAAGGCGCATACAAGGCCCACTGTGATCACAGCTACAAACACACCAGTGCAAAAAGTACAGACTTAGAGGGTAAAACACCTACTCTTTCAAAAGACTACATTACAAAGAAGAGTACAAATACGGCAAGAAGTGGCTCGCAATTCGAAGGTAATTCTTTAATTCAAAAGCTTCCGAAACTACATTCTACCACGACACATCTATAGAACATCCCTAAAGAGTGCTCTCAGCAAACATGAAAACGACCCCTAGAAAACACAAATTCACACTAGTTTCGCGAGTGAAGTCTAATGTAGGACGAAACAACAGTGACGGGCAAGTAACTAATGACTACATGTACAACAGAAAAAGACGGCAGAAAAATCAAGCAATACCGAATGAGAATTTCGGGGCGCAAGGGAGCATTGAACAGCCTAAGGCAAGACAGGAAGTGTTCGACGTCAAATCTGCGACATGAAAGCTCCCTTCTACCTTGCAAAACATGCTTCCCGCAAATTACACACAGAACTACAAATCGGTAACTGAATCCACCTTTGATATCACCAACGCTTTCAAGATGCTAAAATAATCGTCAAGCAGCCTGAAACAAGCTGTCAGAAAAATCCACAAAATCCTGTCGCCAATCTCCTAAAACTTCCAGATGTCAACTACAAGCAAGACCCCCAAGTTATCCCGACTACTAACCACACGTCACCGCAACACAATTCCCGTGACCAAACCTCCTACACCGCTTCCAACTATCATGCTGTCCGGATTCCTACATATGTATATACAACAACCGCACCAATGCTTAAAATTCCAGATGCAACGAAGAAACACAACAGAGGATCTCCGTCCACAATCTGCCCCAGGCTCCTTGACCAGGAATCCACACTGAAATCAAACACACCGCAACAAAGTGCAGGCACTGCTAACTAGTCCAAGGCCTAACCAAGAGATCTCACCGAGTCACTAACACCACATCCGATCAAGAGCAAACTGCTACGACCTCGGCATCCCCTCCTCCTCTCCCAGTCACACAATACATAGGCTCACCGCCTTCTTCTCAATGCGAAAGGATAGCCATCAATCCTCCCTCCTCCTCTCCCTGTCACACAATACGAAGGCTCACCGTCTCCTTCTCAATGCGAAAGAATAGCAATCAATCCTCTCTCCTCCACATCCAGAAGAACTCACGGCCTCGCTACTCCCTATGCTTGGAACGCGGCGTTTCCGAAGGACATCAATCAACCCATTGGCTACCAAGTCTGAACGAAATAAAGGCCTCAACAAACTAGAAAAAGGCCCTCGCCCACACAAACATACACACACACGAGAGCAATAATCGCCGACTGGAGCCACCGCCGGTCAGGATGGATGATGGATGATGATCGTCGACGTGGGGAGGAAGGCACCTCGCCATCGCCTGGCGAGGCACCCCCACCGGGGCCCTGCACCTACCACTCGTAAACACACGAAATCAAACCCGAAGTTCAAAATTTCGGAACGTGGGGATGGGAATCGGGATTCCGGGGCTCACGCTAACGACGAAGACGTCGACACCTGCAAACGTCGTTCGTCCGAAACTAATTATCTCAGCCTGCACCTGCTGCGTCGTCGGTTCGTCATTCGACCGTCGCTATTTCAAGCTTTATAGATGAAATTCGTCACTGGACGAAAAGAAAGGTGACTACGACGACTTGGGTGTGGAGCAGTCGCCGCGTGGTCCCTCATCACTGACGGATGGAAGATAACCCTTCACAAGTTAATTAATGGGCGTTGCGTGGCTAGGTGGCCCGTTAACTGGGGATGATAAGAGGACGTGCCCCTCTCCTTTCTCACGTCTCCGGCCATCCCCACCCCCCCCTTCTGTGTTATCTCCGTGCCTTTCTCGCAATCCTGTGAGACGCGGTTTGGGATCCCAGCAGCTTTGGGTTCCTCGTTCCCTCACACCCTCCTCATGGTTCCCCACTAATGGGCACTCGTGCTCACCCACATTCTCACAACTCATGGTTTCAGATTACTCAGTGCTTCAATGAACATAGAGTGTAATATTTTGGGAATGTAATTGTTTCATGCCAAAACTTCATTTACTTGTTCTTTTTAAGTTTGCACACTTTTCATTCATGCTACTTCAACTATGATAACATTTCTGGATTTTCACTTCTCGTCAAATCAAATTATTATAGATCAAATTATTGTGTGTGTGTATATGTATATATATATATATATATATATATATTTTTTTTATTATAGAAAATTGGATAAAAAGTCTCACTGAAACTTTTTGTTGTAGAAGTTTTAAATACCATTTACTTTGTTTGGAAAATATATATAATTGCTAAATACATCAGTTAGTAATTGTGATGTGTATTTAGTAAAGGGAACAATTAGATGGATGCCCCATGTGCCATGCACTTCTACACACATCTCAACAAAACATAACTAGTTTTAATTTTAAATAATATTCATTTATATATTTATTAAACATTGATGAATATTAAAAATAATAAAACATTAGCTTTTATGTTTTTATTGTTCAAATTATTAATTTGACAAAGAATTGGAAGGAAAAAAGAACCAAAGGCTAAAATAATATAGAATCATATTATAGAGATGAAAATTGGTATATAACATTTTGGTATTAAGGTTATAAAATTAAAAAAAAAAAAAAAAAAAAACATGAATTAAAATTAAAACTAATTACTTTTTGGAAGGTATGTATGAGGGGTTGTGTAGCACAGGAGGGTGTCCATGCACTAAAAGAGGGGTGTCCACCAAGCAATTCCTTTAATAAAATTGAGATGTAGATGAATATGAAACATTTATCTTCATCTATCATGCATGTGTAATTACATACATGTCTGTAAAAATCAAACTTGTTCAAACTAACCACTTAATTACCCTCCTACTTTTAAATTGGTATATGTTCTTGTATGTATGTATGTATATATATATATATATATATATATATATATCACAAAGTGTAATAATGCAGTACACTGAGATTGCTATGATTCAACATTTTTCAAAAACTTGTGCTAAACATATGGGATTGAAGCTTTTTTGCAAATCCCTGTAATGTTTGCTGATGTTCTGGAAAGTCATGATTATACACATTAAAGGGAAAAAGGAGAATGAAAATAAGGAAAAATAAACTCCTCTAAAGAATTGACCTTAAGCAGCATTGATGTGTGTTTGAATGAAGTGGGTGGTAGTCATACAAAAATTCAAAGATATTTTAGTAGATTAAATAATATCGGAAAATTTCATTTGCAAAAAAATAAATAGTAATATATTCCTTTCAGACAGACATGACCTGTTGCAGACGCAAAATATAAAAAACTTCAGCGAAACTTCTGACAGCCCTCATCCACGTGGACGTACGTTCCAAGCAACAAGAGAATTTATCATTCACCAATACCTCCGTTGTCAAATCGACGAAAATCGTCCGACTGCCAGAAAAGTCGGCGACGGAAGTTTGGAGAGCAGATTTAGGGTTTGGGGGTTTCGCAGAGCAAGTGTGGTAGAAGTACGCACGCAGAGCCGGTGATGGGGGCGAAGGGGCGCCGTTGATGGCCGCCCGCAGAAGCTGACCCTCCTCTCTGGAGATTCGATCCGCACCCATGCAGCCAGAAGCCGCGCAATCCGCGTTTCCCCTCGACAAATTTCCGCTCTCATTCTCAGATCTCGGTGCAGATCTCGCAACAACGGTGCCCGTCGCTGCATCAGCCACGCCAAGGTCTTCTGCGACAAGGCTCTTTTGCGCAAGTCAGGGGCTGAACAACCATGCCAAACAGGCTCCATTAGCGTTAACAAGGGTGCTGTTGACGGAGCTGTGCAGATTTGCGAGCACCGTTTTTGCAGACAATTTGCTGGCAGTGTTAGTGCCACCGAGCTACCGAAGCTTGATCATCTGCTACCTGTTTGCTCCGGAGTTGTTGTGGCAAATTGTTGTCGGGATTCGAGTTGCTGTGCTCTGATGTATGAAGATCAGACTTGAGTCTTTGTTGGCAATTGTAGAGCCATCAAAAGAGTCAGTGTTATTCTTCTACCACGTTAAAATCGTGACATGGCAATTTTGTCTTATGGAGCAAAATATAATGGTCATGGCAATTCTAGTAGAAAGGGAGTCATGGGTGCAACATGGTGCCATGAAGGGGGTAAAATAAAATTGTCATGGTTGTGTCGGTGGGAATTTTTGCAAAGCATTTTATTTTATTTTATCTTAATCTAGTTATTAATACAATAGTTCTGAAATTTTATAATGTGGATATGATGTGACTTTATGCACTCTTGTTAACCTATATATAAATGGATAGTGTTTTGTAATTAACTAGTTTATGATCGTTACTTTTGATTATTTTCATTTTTCTTTTTACTGAATAATTTCAAAGCATGGTTTAATCATAGAAGCAATTGTAGTAAAGTGAGTTTTTGTGGAAGAAGATAGAATATATTATTGTACCTTTGTTAAGAAAATACAAACAAAAATTTAATTATAAAGAGATATTGAAATATAGAGTAATAAATATTAGCTTTGCCTGTTCAATCAACCTCATAACTTTTTTTAAGTGTTAGATGATTTGACTTGAGGTTTTTATATGAAAATATTGTAACAGCTTTATATTAATTTTTTGTAATGTAGTTTATTGCAAAGTAAAATTTTAGAAGCAAAATTGTCAAAAGTTGTGCATAATACATTATAAACAAACTAGAGATAATCCATTTACCAAGCTAAATCATTGATTAACTGTTGTAATAATCTTAAATCACTAATATATGTATACAATAGAGATGTTTTTGTGATGAAAATGTATTATAAAAAAGTTACCAAAAAGTATTGCAATCTTTAAAAGTTGTACAATATTAATATGGTTGATAATAAAGTCTTTATAATAATTTAAACCTTATCAACAATTTGAATTGATGAATGAACACACATAAATAAACCAAGTTTATTGCATCAATTTACAATAATTTTTTAGAATATGTTGTTAAAAAAATCCAAATTTATACACAATGTACATGGAAGATGTGAAATTAAAAGACAGAGGATGGGGGACTAAGAAAATGGAGGACAAGGAGAATATGGGGGTTGGGGACAAGAACATGGATGGAGGATGGGGCTGGGAACATGTTGCATGGCATACAAAAATGCAGTAGCTGCATGGCAGAGTGATCACAAGGATCCTCTCCCTGTGTGTGGATGTGCTCTCCTTCACATAACTGATTTTTAGCTAATCACAGATTTTTGTGGACAGGTACTGTCTTTTATATAATTATGTTGTTTACATGCAATAATAACATATACAAAATGAAATATTTTTGTATGTGAAAAAAAAATACATATGTTTGTGAATTTGTCAGAAGTGAAATTGTTGCTCAATTTTTAACACTAATAGAATTTTCCTTCAAATTTGTGTTCATAGGATTGCAATTAATTATATTGAAAAAATTTAATATGTTAAAACTACACTAATCTTCTTACAGGTTAAATGTTTTTATAACTTGTCATCCATAGATTTGATACCAAAAATGTGCACTTTTTCAATATTATTACTTTAAATTATAGACAAGATAAAAAACTTTCATTAGCTAACAAATACTAGAGGTATTTTGAAATAAAATAAAATACATCAAAACATCAAGAATAAATATTAGATAAAAATTAATAATTTAATATTTTTAAAAAATTAAAAATTTAATATTTAAAAAAAATTAAAATTCATTATTTATTTATTTATTTATTTATTTATTTATTTATTTATTTATTTTTTGTAACATACGAACATTATAAAAATTAAGCTATAATTGTAGCACTTGCTTAAGATTACAATGGTATGCAATTTAGTTTTTACATTTGTTTATAGTACCAAGATGCAAGTTGTAATTTAGTTAATATATCCATGTTAGTATTTTGTTATGTTTTATTTACTACTCTTATTTTTTAGTATTATCATATATATATTTATTTATATTTTATATTTTATAAAATAATAATAAAATAAAAATAAATAAATAAAGCTTAATAATATATATATATATATATATATATATATATATATAAATTAATTAATTTTGTTTAAGAAAAAGATCAAGCTTTAGATGGTTTGTTTGATGAGTCCAAAATGTTTAGGTTTGGTTATTCTATTATATTTTTAAAGATTATCCCATTAAAATGGGAACAAAACTTTCCATGGTAATTGCAAACTTGTTACTATACTTGTCATGAACATACATATTTGTTCTAGTATTTACCTATATGTTTAAGTAGAAGTAGATAAAAGTAGATTTATTTCATAATATT